TCCTCTGACAGAGCTGGGGCACAAAGTTACCTTCCACAGCTCATCTGACAGGGCCTTGTTCTTCCTGTGCTTCCTGTCTTTCTCCTTATCTTCCACTTGGAAATTTTACAGCATTTCTTTTTCTTTCCCTTTGATCAGTGCTAAAATGCATGTTTCTCTTCCGAGTTTCAGTTTGTTCAGTGATCCTGTCAAGCGTTTTCTCAGAAGCTTTTATCATGGAATTGAGTGTTAATTTCAAAAGTTTTGGTGATTTTCTGTGTGATTTACACAAATCTCCTGCTAGTTAAGACACCACTTGGGAAGGTACAAAGAGGAAAAAGGATGTTTCTGTGTGTCAGTTCAGCAGTGGAACATTCATGGATAGATGGAGTGATTAGCTGCATTTTACATGCACTCCTAACCTGAAAGTGCAACAGGTAACTTGGGGAGAAATTAAAGTCAGATCTCTTCTCCTACCAGCCTGTATTCAAATGCAAAGTAAATAGAGCAGAGTGAAAATGTTAGTGCTCAGTTCCTGAAGTGCCTCATTAAGGTGTTCTTAGAGTAATGGAGATAAAATCTGGGTTGGCATTCCTAATTCCCAGACATTCATTGTCAGTTTCATTGACTCTGAAAACAGCAGAGGTGTGCCCACCATACCTTATCAATCCATTTGGGGATGTTGGAGGTTCAGGTTTTCTGAGGCTTTAGCTTTATAGATCTCTAGACAAGGCTTCCAGGACTCTAAATGGCTTTCAGAAATTAAACTTTTCTCCTTTTTTCCTCAATCTTTGCACCAGAAACCTTCAGTGAATGGATTCCACTCTAATACAACTCGAAGCTGAATCTCTCAGCTGCCCCGGCGCGGGCCGGACTTGGCGGGGACGAGCGCGGCAGAGCCGGGGCTGCGGGCACAGCGCGGGCGGGGCGGCTCCCGGCGCTGGCCGGGCTCCGCACGGCACGGCCGGCTGCAAACCCCCTCTTCCTCTGGCTGCGATCGTCCTCCTGCCTTTGCTTTGCAGCATGCCCCGAACCAGCAAGGCAAGTGCAGGAACTTTCAGAATGGTCGAAATTGAGGAATCCTGTCGAAAGTCTTGCTCTTTGTCCGGTAAAGGTGAAATCAGTCTCACTTCTGCATGGCTGTAGGGAGGAGAAAGATGTTAGACTGAGTATCTTCAGTATTTATTTGGGGTTGTAGAGTTCCCCACTTCAGAACAGATGGGTCGAATGGGAGAAGGGGAAAAGGTGAAGAGGAGAAAATTTACATTGGTTTTGCCGCTTTTCCTGCCAATTGTCTCTGCCTGTCTTCAGCAGATTTGGCACATTTTTGATTCTTTGAAGATAGTAGCAGCAACAGGAAGGGGCAGCAATTTTGTCAGCATTTTCTTCAAAGCTGAAATCCTGCCTCCTGGAAGCATATTGCTTTATGTGAGGGAGTAATTGCCTACAGTTATGGTGAACTCACACTGGTGTTTTCACCAAGAGGTTTTGCATTTTTCTTTCCTCAGTAAGTTGGGGGATTTTTTTTTTGTTTGTTTTTTGGTTTTTGGTTTTTGTTTTTTTTTTTCCCCCAATCAAGGAAGAGTTACAACACAAAATATCCCTCCTGCAGCCAAGTCTTTTCAATGTAAACTAACAAAGGTGGTCTTGCAATGATGTGTTCTTAGTGTCACTCGTTCTTTTTGTTTTAAATTCTCTCTTGAACTAGAAACAGTTTTCCTAGCACAAAAAAATAGACTTTTCATCTCATTTAGTTCATGCCCTTTTTAAAATGTCTTTACATCATTTGACAATGAGGGCTCATGCGAGTATATTTGGTGGTATGGCAGAACCTCATCCCACACACGCAGTGGATGTTCTCCTTACATCCAGCTTGTCTCAAGTTCCAGCTGACACTGCCTTCTCTTGCCCTCCTTTCCAGGTCCCCTTGTGAGGAGCCCAGCCCTGTCACTTCAGTTGCTGCCCTGTGGGTGACATGCTGACACAAGGATTGTTGGTCTGATCACATTCTGGAGTAGTTTTTTGGACTGATTGTTTTAAAGATGCTCTGTCATGTCTGTGTGCTGGCTTTCTCAGAAAAATGGACACCCACTACTTAGAAAATGTCTTTCCAATTAATCTTAAATACCTTAAAACAGAACCTGAATTTCAAATTATCCACCTTATTGGGATGGGGTTTATCTTTCTCTAAACACAGGTAACAACCTTCACAAAAATTATCCCAGCAACTGAATTACAACACAATTTCTAATGAATGGGCAAAAAGGAGAAGACAGGAGTTCAGAGAAGAAGGGATATCTTTCTTCATGTTTCATGGCCCTTATTTCCCACATGTCTGTCTATGTGGTGCTTCATCCAGGAAAGCCTCATTTTGAAGACTTCCTTTGTAATCTCTGTGAGTCATCTCCGTGTTATTCGTGAGAAACACATGAATACTAGCCCTGTGCCCTACTAGGGATGTGGAAGCAGGTGGCTGAAAAGTGGATTGTCCATTGGAATCTGTAGTCACACCTGCAGTATACTTATGGTTACATTGACTTTTCCGCAATACTCTGTGGCTAAGAATGAAAAGTTACCCTTAGCTGTGTATTAAGGACACTGAAACTTAAAAAGAAATGTGCTTGTGTCTGGCAGCATGACTCTTCCCCAATTTTCTGTGGTACTGGTAGAATTTTATGTCAGTTACACACATCACAAGGTAAATAATGGACATTACATTTTGGTGTTTGGGTCAAAAATTGGTTTAAAAATTA